TGGTATTATCTGTTGAAGATATTTTATAGTTTAATCAACTAGACTAGGGAGAAATGTTCACATATTGAAATATTCACATTGTAAACTAAATAAGGTGATTGAATGTATAAAAAATTAAATAAAAAGATGCTTCTCTTTAAGAAAATGATGTGGAGTGAGAAATGAATATTAACATAATAATACCACAATTAATTATTTTTAATAATTTCTGAACTTGGAAGTTGAGCAGCTCTAGAGAATCAGGGTAAATATGCTTACTCTGGACTGAATTAAGCCAAAATCCAACAAAGATGATGTTTATTTTGTGTAGATTTTGTGCAGATCTATTTGTCTGCCTTATTCATTTGCCCAATATAAAATGTATTTTGATAGAAAACTTTTCATTTTAAAAATACCATGGATTTCTTTTATTCCTAAAACAAGCAATTAAAATATACATATGATATGAAATATTTGCCCCCCAAAAAAGGGGAGGGACAAGTGAAAAGAGCTTTTTTTATAATTATTTTATTTATTATTGTTATTTAAAAAAATTTCCTGTAGGAAATGCACATTCATCAGAGATAGAGCAAGTGAAATAGGGAGAATGTGAGAAGAAAGCAAACCACCATGTCTGGATCTAGAACTGCTCTCCACCATGTGGGACTCCAGTGCCTTAACCACCATGTAACCTGCTGGTCGAGCCTAAATCAGGAGGATCATGAGTGTGAGACTCATCTGGGCAAAATAGCAAGACCATATCTTAAAAAAAAAAAAAGAAAAGAAAAGGCAAGCCAGTTGTGGTGTTGTGTGTCTGTAATTCTTGCTGGAAGACCGAGACAGGATAATCATGACATGGTGAGACCCTGTCTTAAAAAAAAAAAAAAAAAAAAAATTGATTATACACCACAGCCAGGGAGGCTTTATTCCAGGGATACAAGAAGAATGGTCCAACATATCTAAAACCATAAATGTAATACACTTTATTAACAGAAAGAAAGAAAAATCTTATGATTATGTCAATTGGTGCAGAAAAAAAAGTACCAAATCCTTTCAAGATTAAGATTCTCAGCAAAAATGGTATAGAAGGGATATTACTAAACACAATAAAAGCCATCTATGAAAAACCCATAGCTTACATTATACTAAATGGGGAAAAGCTGAAAGCCTTTTCACTAAAAACTGGAACACAAGCCTTCTCAATTTTTCTACTCTTTTTCTTTTTCTTTTTTTAAATATACATTTTTAATTAAATTTCTTTTATACTTTCAATCACATATGTCACTTAGCTTGTAAAATAAACATTCCAACATGCATACATTGCTGACCAATGGTGCTAGAAAAACTGGATATCCACTCTTTTTCCACGTAGTACTGGAAGTCCTAGCCAATGCAATCAAACAAGAGACTAAAATAAAAGGTATTCAAAGAGAGAAAAAAGTTAAATTATCCCCATTTGCATATGACATGATTATATACACAGAATACCAAAAAATAATGCACAAAAATCTCCTAGAAGTGATGCATGAATACAGTAAAGTGGCAGGATACAAAATCAGTATTCAAAAATCAACAGCAATTCTATACACTAACAGTGAACTAACTGGCTGAGGTAAAATTAAAGAAAGCAATTTCATTTCTAATAGCTACAAAATAAAGAAGATATCTAGGAATAAACTTAAATAAACAAATCAAAGACTTCTACAAGGAAAATTATGACAAACTAGTTAAAAAATCAAAAATGACACGAAAGAATGAAAAGAATTCCCACATTCCTGGATTGGAAGAATTGATATAATTAAAATGTCAATCCTACGCAAATTAATTTACAAATTTAATGCAGTCCCAATCAAATAACCAGAGATATTATTCATAGATTTAGAAAAAAGAATCAAATAATTCATCTGGAAGCATAAAAGACCTTGTATTTTCAAAGCAATACTGCACAAAAACGATGAAGTAGGAGGCAACTCACTCCCTGACCTTAAAATATATTGCAAAGCTGTAATATTCAAACAGGATGGTAGTGGCACAAAAGCAAGTATGTGTACCAATGGAACAGAATAGAGAGCCTAGAAATAAACCTCTAAATGCACAGTCAACTGACGTTTAACAGGCACTAGTCAATCCAGTGGAGAAAAGAAAATCTCTTTAGCAAATGGTGCTGGAAAAACTAGATATCTGCCTATAGAGAGATGAAAATAAACCCCTATTTTTCACCATTAACAAATATCATCTCAAAATGGACCATAGTTCTAAACCTAAGGCCTTAAACTATATACCTACTGGTGAATAACACAGGGAAACTCTTGGAGACATCGGGGTAGACAAAGGTTTCTTAAATAAGACCCCTAAAGGAAAGACAATATTCTCAAAATTAGGCAAATGGGATTACATCAGGTTAAAACATCTTCTGCTTAGCAAAAGAAGGAATAATTAGACTGAATAAGCAACCATTGGAATGGAAGAATTTATTTGCAAACTATGTTTCAGATAAGGAACTATTAACCTATACCTATCAACCGGAGTATACAGGGAACTAAAGCAGCTTACCCAATTAAAAAATAGGTAAATGAGCTAAATAGACAACTCTCTAAGGAAGACATGAACAGCCAAAGATCAAATGAAAAATACTCAGCATCCCTTATTATAAGGGAGATGCAAATCAAACCCACAATATCACCTAACCCCAGTCAGAATGGCTAAGATTAAAAAATAAATAAAAAAAAAAACTGTAAGTGCTGGTGAGGCTATGGTGAAAAGGAAACTCTCCTACACTGTTGGTGGAAATGTAAATTAGCACAGTCACTGTGTAGAACATATGGAGTTTCCTCAAAGACCTACAAATTGATCTACCATATAATACCAAAATTCTATTCCTTGGTGTTTATCCAAAGGATAGGAAAACATTCAGAAAAGTACTTGCACATTTGTGTTTATTGTGGTATTATTCACAATTGCTAAGATATGGAACCAACCCAAATGTCCTAGAACAGATGAATGGATTGAAAAATCATGGCACATATACACCATGGAATACTATTCAATCGTAAAAACAATAAGACCTTTGCATTTGATAAAGTAGAAAAATATGCAAGATTTACTGCTAAGCAAAGGAAGCCAGACTATGAAAGAGAGGCATCGTATGTTCCTACCTAATATATATGAAATGTCTGCACTCTATGGCAAAAACTGAAAGACTGGAGCATATGAAAACATGGAAAAGAATTCTAAAGGAAAATTTCAAAAATTTCCTGAGCAGTAGGAGTATAATTGGAATACACATTTAACCTTTCAAAGTGATCATTTAGGACAGGCAAACTCATTTGAATTCTTGATTTCTGATATATTTATTTAAAAAATAATAATCTATTGTCAATGTGGAGAATCCATGTTCTTTTTTAAAGCGATTTTTGTTGTAGAGCGTATGTGCTTGCCAGAGAGACAGAAAGAGATAAATCACCCCCAGGAAGGATAGCACACTGCAATCTCTTCTCCATTCTCCTCTTGGGATTTTTGGGGATGCACACACACATGCCTGGTATGAGTTTCAAACAACCAGGTTCAGGACTCAAACTGTGATCAACCACATGGGAGTCCTGCAATGCAACCATTCTTCCATCTGCTGGTCCTAAGAATTTCACATTCTAAAAGTTTCAACTCATTGATGTAATATAGAAGATGTGTCTCTGTGTGCATGTGGGGGGGGGCAGTGCTTTTTCAGTGACTTTTTCCAGTTGTAGAGGTTCAAAGTGGAAAATGTCACTCATCCTCCCAGACAAGGGAGATTTGGGGGGAGATCAATATCTTAGTGTGGTATGTAAAATATGTTGATGGCATAGTTGGAGAGGTTATGAGTTAAAAAAAATAGGTATAAAGAGCTAGGGATAAAGCAAAGCAATGCAGATCAGAAGTCTGTTACAGGGAAGTTCAAAATAAGAGTCAGAGAAGGGAGAGGGAAGAAGCTTAAAGATGACTTTAAAGTTGAAATTTTGACACACCAGCTGGATGGAATGGTGAAGGTGCTATATTCTCACATGGCTGACCTTGGTTTGAGTCCCAGACCTAGGGACTTGAAAATCATGACAAGCACATGTGTGTGCATGCCCAAAATCCCAAGAGGAAAATAGAGAAGAAGAAATAGTATCATGGTCATCCCCTTGGAAGGTGATTTCTTACTTTCCTTCTCACTGCCTCTCTGTGTCTCTCTGGTAAGTGCAGGCATCCTATGGCA